GTTCCCCCCAACTGCCCACTCTCCAAGCTTCCAAGCGCTTTAATTTTAGCCATTCGCCAGGCTTTGCTGGTGGCCTCTGACGCCCACAGCCCTCTCTCTCCCGGGGGGCAGTCGTGCAACTGCCAACTGCGCTATGCTGCAGGCGGTCGACCGATCGTTTACCTGACGCTAATGAGGGCCTGAGACCGGCATCGGTTCCGTGGTCAATGCTAAATCGGGATCGAAAGCTAGTCTTGAAGAAAGAACTTATGGAGGCTGGCCCGCTCTGGTCATCAGGGCATATTACAACTGCCGTCTTCTTAACGTTCGCGGTTGAAAACGGCCTCCCTCCTACATCTTCCTGGACAGCTCCGGCGCGCACACCGGCACACACGCACACTCTTTTTCTCTCACACCCCGTCAGTCTCTGAATCTATTGCTGGATTCAACGTTGCTGCTGAGTTCTCTTCTGCCACAACTTGTGGTGCTTGTTGGGGGGCTTTAAAGGTGTGTCTATGTGGGAATGAGACGGAACTCTGCTTCCCAGATCAGTTGGCTAAACAAACTCGCCTCCTCCTTTACTCTCTACCCTTTGACATCTTTTTGATGACCGTAGCGGGATAACTTGCATCTTCTCCGAGATATATTTTGACTCAATCAAAAAGAAGCCCTGATTTGGGGGGAGGGAAGTCGTGTACCTGATCCGCATAAGGAGGACTGCCACTTGACGGCAAATCACGAATTGCTCCAAAAAAGCCAGGTGGCTATTTTCCTCTTTATCTGCAGCTCTCTAGGCTTGTCTCATTTGCCTTGCATTTGGCCCTGGCCTGGTTAGAGGACAAAAACGAGTGCACGCTGGGAGAAGCGTGGGTGTTTGAATGAGCTTGCCGACAGCAGCATTTTAATCGCTTGATATTAATTTTATTTGCTGGCCTACTGTAGGCTATGTTCTAATTTGTTTGAGCGTGGCTCTTTTGCCTACTAACGTACACCTACTGTTTGCAGTCACTATCTTGGTTAGAAATTCTTCGCCGGAACGAGTTGCAATTTTCGAGCTGGATCGAGTATAAACGATTCGAGCAATCGCCCTGAACCAACCCCCGAACGGTATATCCAACTGCCTACGTAAATGCAAAAATGTCCCCCACACCTCCATCCACGAAATTGTCCAGCAGCATTTATCCCCCCGGAGAATATCGGGTTGTCAGGAAAAGAAATCGCGTACCGGTCTCCTGCGCACCGTGTAGAAATCGGAAGTAAGCTTTGATTACTGAAGGGAATATATATCTTAAGATGGTCATTTGGTCATTTGTCTGATGACCGATTTCTTCCAGGCTGAAATGCAACCGCTCCGTCCCTTGCGAAAACTGCGTGAAGCGCAACGATGTTCCCTCCTGTACGTACGCGCAGCCGAAGAACCGGAAGAAGCCAGCCAGTATCCAGGGTTCACCCCCAACTATGGATGGTATGCAGGATCGCATCGACCGGCTCGAGAACCTTGTAATATCGTTGATGACCAATGGCACACAATCTGTGGGCACAGCTGCTGCACAAGCAATGGCCTCTGGGGGTAACGCCAGTTCGGCGTCCCGGCGAGATACCCATGAGCTGGACCTTGGAGATGAGATGGATGAAAAAGAAGATGAGAGCGATACAGATCAGGTTACCAAGTCATTTGGGATTATGAAGGTTGATGCCATGACGCAGAAGTCGTACTATGTCAGCGAGGGGCATTGGACGATGATCCTTGCCGATGTGAGTAGTTAATTACTCTCCGCTATCCACCCCATTGGCTTGATTTTAATTGAACGCATGATGGTTGTTAATCTTTATATTCTAGATCGCAGAAGTTAGGCAGTACTTTTTAGCGCATAAGAAGGTGTATGAGGAGCAAGTAGACAAATTGGAGAAAATGAAAGCAGAGAGTAACGAGCAGGATTTGTCCGGACTATCTTTACTTTTTGGGGCTATTAAACCTCCATCTGCGACTGAGATTTTGTCCAGTTTTCCCTCCAGATATACCGCCGATATGTTGATCACTCGTTACTTTCAATATTATAGCCTATTTACTAGTAGGTCCTTGCGTTTCTGGTTTTTAAACATTCTCGATATATATATGCTTACCTCCAATTTTAGATTGCATTCATTTTCCAAGTTTCCAGAAAGAGGTACAGTCCAGGTTTTTCCAATTCCTGACATATAAATTTTGCTGATGACGTTATTATGCAGTACGAGCGTCATTGGGAAGATCCGACCAAAACAAGCATTGTCTGGATCGGCATGGTCTTTGCTATGTTCCGTCTTGCGATGATATCATACCATGATGAATCGGACGAACCCCCAGAATTCCGAAGTAAATCTCTACGTATTGCTGCTTCATATCGGAATTCTATGGCCCAGTGCCTCATCCTTGCCGATTATACGAAACCGCATCGATACTTGATAGAAACGCTCATCCTCCATCTGCACGGCGATTACACGCAAGAGAAGGAATCAGAAGTATCTGTATGGGTACTGATTGGAGTGATTGTCCGTCTAGCAATGCAGATGGGTTATCACCGTGACTCAAAAATGTTTCCGAACATCTCTCCTTTCCAGGGCGAGATACGCGGGCGGCTATGGACTTTTATACGACAAGCGGATCTACTATTTTCTTTCCAGATCGGCCTCCCTTCTATGATTCGTGGGGCAGATTATGATATCGAGCTTCCGCGAAATTTATATGATGCCGACTTCGACCAAGATTCGGTCGAGATTCCTCCTGAACGGCCCCTGGATGAGCCAACGCCTGTCAGTTTTCTTATTGTCATGGCACGGCTTGTAGGTGCGTTTGGGCAGGTGTTGGAAAATACGCAGGAGATTACCCGAACTCCTTCGTATGAGGAGGTTATGGAACTCGATCATGCGCTTCGCGATGCTCGTGATATGGTTCCGGAACATATGGCTGTTCGACCGCTTGAGGGTAGCAATGATTCCATGTATGCTATCAAGTTGAAATTTTTGGTGAGTGTTATTCTCTACTCTCACATTTCTTTTCCTAATTTTAGGAAAGAACATGTCGGACTAAAATTACTTTCTCGTTCCCAGATCGCGAGCACCTATCACAAAGCCCAATGTGTTCTTCACCGAAGGTACATGCACCGTGGCCGAGAAAACTCACGGTATGCATACTCGCGACGCACCTGCATTGCCAGCGCATTGGAGCTGCTCCGCTATCAAAGACTACTCTACTCAGCAACGAAATTGGACGACCGCTTCCGAAACAGCAAAGGGTACGCCACCACTGGTAACACATATGGTTTTCTTATGGCTTCCTCAATCCTCTCTGTCGACGTATACCAAATGGTGCGAATCAACGCCTCCGATCCTAGCTCAAATGATATCTCTGCTCTAGACACGGAGGAATACCAGGAAACGCTTGCAATCCTCCAGCAGTCCATGGAAATTTGGAATGAAGGCAAAGACCACTCACTGGATGCGTTCAAAGCTACTGGTCTTATGGATATCCTGTTGAGCAACATATTCCGAGCGCAGAAGGAGCGGCGACAACAGCGGCGACAACAGTATGAGGAGGGACAAAATAAAAATGCTACGATCAAGGGAGGGTTGGCAGCGGTGGGAGTTCCAGTTGATCGACCGGACGAGAAGCAAAATGCGGCCATGACACAGGGCCTACTTAGCTGTGGAGTGAACGAGATGGAAGCCAGTCCATCGCAGTTTGCCGCTGATCCGATGATGAAGTATGAAACTGTTGGTGGAGTTGGTGTTATCAGTCAAGGGGGAATGATGGAGCCGCCACGGCTCCCGATGCTCGGCAATGGGATGGGGATGAATTTCGGCACGGGGATGTTTGGCCAGATGGCACCTATGCAGCCGTTTGATTTGGATTGGGTATGTTTTGTCATTTCATTTCTGATGTCCTTCCTTTCTTGTTTTAGGTTGTTCGTTACATCATGCACCCTCTTCCGAAACCCCCCCCCTTCCTCTGTCTTCCCCATCCAAGGAATACTTCCAAGCAGAGTTAGAAACGAAATCCAACATTAACTCTCAATACACTGTTGAAGCAAACATGGGATAGCTACGTTCAAGCCGCGGCGGCCGACCCGAATATGCAAAGCTGGCCAATATTTGATTTTCAGGCCTTCTCACCCGGCCCTATTCAACTATCACCACCAGCTTCGCAACAAGACCAACAACATCCACAACATACTCACCAGGAAATGCCAAGCAGCAAGAACGCATGCACGTCGCAGCAAAATATATATGATAGTGGCGGAGGTGTCGCAGCAAATCCAGCGCTGTTTATGGATAACTTGAACGCCGGCAGGAATGGTCTTAATAATCCCAACAATAACAGTGGGGTTATTGACACGATTAATGAGTGAAAAGGCACTTGCTTGGTGGGGCTATGGTTTGTCTGTATTTCCTCTTTCTTTCTCCTTTTATTTGATATTTGGGTGGTTAAATTGGGTTGGACTTTATTTACTTTGGGCATTTGGGTTGTATGTATATAGTGATGTGGCGTAATGGGCAGTACTTGCTGATTTACCGTGAGTATTTGAGAGTGTTTAAAACTGTATGTAGGTACACTTGACCATTATATATTTATCACGACGTCATGTCATATATGAACCTTTGGCGAGAGTGAGCGAAAAAAATTGCTATATATCCTTCAAACCAAATATGCCCTCCAGCTCATCTGCAAGTTTCCGAAATGCGATGTCCCGAAAGATATTGAGAATGATATTCCTTCCGGTCAACTGCTTTTCAGAATATTGGATGTCTGATGCTCTCGACTGAAATTAAAGCAAAACCTGTTGCTACCTGATTCAGGGGGTTGGCGGATGGGAAAATTTATCTACGATAACCAACACACGCATCTATTATTTTTTTTGTATGGAATAATACACGGAGCTTGAAACTTCTTATAAATCAGAATATATTAATGAAGAATCGAAAAAAAAAAAAAAAAAAAAAAAAAAAAAAAAAAAAAAAAGAGGATCAAATCGTATATCGTTGCTATGTATGATCTTGCTCCAAGTGTCTGGCCCAGCCAGTAAGTAGCAGGCATTATCCCCCATGCGAGAACGTGATGTCAGGACCATGCAGAACAGAAAGCTAACCATTCACCTGAATTTCTTCGTCTTTCTCCTCATCACTAGGAGGATGCTCATCAGCTACATTTTGATAACTAACTAGTTAACTATTTGCATTTTGCTTGGTAATCTCGTTTGGTTTCTTTGTTGTGAAGGAGGCTCTTTTTCCACGTGATGTTCAGGCTGGAAGTTAGCTAGTTAGTCAGCCCAGCTAACCCGATGTGGCCGATACTCACTAGTCCACTTCTTATCAACTTTTTTTTTTTTTTCGCTCAACCTTTTTCTCATCCTCTTTATTCGCATCTCTGACCACATCTCCTCGATCATTTCCCGCAATTGTCTTCATTGATTTTATTTCACCTTTCGTTAAACAATATACCTTTATATTGCTGTAATACTTTGGTTATTCCCAATTGAAAATGTTAGTCTCCCATATCAACTTTTTTTGGTGTCAGGCTTGAAAAACTAACAACGTCTCCCCGAGCAGGATTTCTCTCAGACACACTGCATTCCGCGCGATTTGCGCAGCGCCAGCTGCTCTCGCCGTGAAGCCAGGAACTCTAGCTGCCATTGCTCCTTCGTTGCTAAAATTGAGTGGTCAGGTTACCAACGTAGCTTTCCAGCAACGATGGAATTCCCAATATACTCCATCGATTGTTCGAAGGACCGGCCTGCAGGGGTTTCGAAATGACGTACCGATTTCGAGACCAGCCCCGGATGTCAGGCCCAATGAAACAATCTACATTGGCAACCTCTTCTTTGAAGTGACTGCAGATGACCTCAAACGCGATATGTCTAAATTCGGCAATATTCTCGCTGTTCGCATCGTATATGACAACCGTGGAATGAGCAGAGGGTAGTTTCCACCATTTTGATATTAATCAACCGTTCATTCCACATTTCCATATTGGCTTTCTATGTCCCCGTTTATACATATCGTAATCTAACGTTTCCTCGCTTGCTAGATTCGCATATGTTCAATTCGACTCAGTTGACGCTGCTGAAGCTGCAATTGCCGAGATGAACATGACCATCTACGAAGGACGTAGAGTGGTTGTTAACTACTCGTCGCGCGGCTCAGCAAATCCAACCCCAACACGCTCCAACGAGCCAACCAGAACTCTTTTCATTGGAAACCTGTCCTTCGAAATGACCGACCGTGAATTGAACGAACTTTTTAAGGATATTAAGAATGTTACGGACGTCCGCGTGTCCGTCGACAGGAGAACTGGCCAACCTCGTGGATTTGCCCACGCTGACTTCTTGGATGTTGAGAGCGCCCAAGCTGCGTTTGAAATTCTCAAGGACAAAGCTCCTTATGGCCGTCCTCTCCGACTCGACTACAGCCTCAGTGCCAGGGATAGCACCATGGACCGATTGAGGACTGCTCCATCCGGGAGCAACGAGACCTTTTGAGTCCCAGGATACTTGCCAAGAAACCGCCAACTGAAAATATTGCTCCAAAAACCGAAAAAGGAAGGGATCTCCGGATGGGCAAGTATAAGCTGAGAATGGGCCTGCACAGTCTGATGTTATATTTTATGTGCTGTGGGCGTTCTATTTGTTCTATCGATTCTTATACGGGGTTTGTTCGAGGAGCGGGAGGGAGCTGGGTTGGTCCTTTAGTGTTCCTTAGTTTTCCTCTCTCTTCCATCTGGACATCTTGATTTCTTTTATTTGTGAATTGATATATCTCGTCTTGTAGTTGTCTTTTGCCCAATTTTGTTCCTCCCCACTTTTCCACTATTTGTTTTATTATGCGACCATTTTTTTCTCTAGCAAAAACTGTACACTTTACTGCTTCGGACAATTTGTTTCTCCCATCCTATGTGGTAACAAAAATAACAAAAAAATTTTTTTTTTTTTTTTTTCTTTATCTCACTTTTCTAGCCACAGTTTTTTTGTGTTTGTTAGAATAATGCGGAATTAGGAATTTAGCTACCATCTCCCCTTTTGGCATATCAATCAATCACTACAGCAATGTTATATTTAGTATCTCTTTAATCTTGGGTTGACTTCAAAAGGTTTGTCTTGTGCGGAGCAAAAAGGGAAATTTTGACACACCACGTGAAAGATCAGCCTCTTACTAATAATAATGCATTTAAAGACGGTATTTTAGGATAGTTACGGTACGGTAAAATACAATAAATGTAAGTTACAGCTTGACGGCCAATGCCCCAAGGTTTCAATTTTCGGCGGCTCTGCTCAGTTCTGCCGATGATGCCGAGTGATAGATTACCGGTAATCTGGTATTTCTCGATACACCCGAGGATGTTGGCAGAAAACGACCCCCAACTGTCCAAAGTCGCCTTTCTGTCACTGACAACTCCAGCAGCAACAGCATATTATGTGTGCACTTTGTGTTCATTATCTTCTTTCATCTGCATCTATAATTTCTAATGAGAATCGAGTTTCCCTATAGTTCTTGTGTATGTTGCTTTGCCTAGTTAGAGCTACCGCGATCCAATAAGCCTATTATCGGTCTCAATACTCCGAAACCCCTTCGCATACAACTGCGTCCGCCACATCCCGGCTCTCTGCCTTGTGCACATCTTCAATATGTCATTTCTCGGCGGGCCAGAATGCTCAACAGCGGGGAATCCCCTGACTCAGTTTACGAAGCATGTTCAGGATGATAAGTCGCTGCAACGGGACAGACTCGTTGGTCGGGGTCCCGGCGGTCTCCAGGAAGGGATGCGATCAAGGAGTATGATGGGAGGTCAGGATAAGGTACGGAAAGCCTCTCCAATTCCAGTATACTAGATATAAGGTAAGGAAGTAGCTGTATACTGATTTGACATTTTTAAAATATCGTCCGTAGATGATGGATGAGTTTCTCCAACAAGGAGACCAGATGCCGCAAGGTCCCGCACAACCCTTTGCTATGGAGCAAATGAGACGTGAACTAGAAAATTTCCAAACAGCACCGCAGAGAACCGGCTCGCCTGGCTGGGCTGCAGAGTTCGATCCTGGTGAACAGGCAAGAATGGAAGCCGCTTTTAAGCCCGGTATGGCTAGACATTTCCCAGGACCCGAGTTTTCTTCTGCGGATTTTGTTCGCTTTCAACAACAAAACCGGAACGGCATGCAGGTTACGTCTGGTCCCGCTACTTCACATACACCGATGATGAGCGCATACCAACCACAGATGATGGGATTTGGCGGGATGAACTCGGGATACGTGGGTATGATGGGTCCGTCATATTCTATGGGAATGCAGCATCATCATCATCCACCACAGCAATCCACGCAAGACGATAAGGGGAAAGGGAGGATGATAGAGTTGGACGACCAAAACTGGGAGGCCCAGTTTGCGGAGATAGCCGCATCGGGACAGAAGGATGATGATGCAGAGGCAAATGCCGCGATTGAGGCAGAGTTGAATGAGGTCGATAGGTCAGTCCACACCGAGACTGATGAATTTCGACGCTTTGAGCGTATATGGAAAGGCATACAGGCTGAGACTGCAGCTCGTAGGCAAATGGCTGATGAGGACCTAAATTTTGATCCCATGCATTTGGGTGAATTCGGCGAATGGGATCACTTTGATGGCGATCTTAACGTGCGCATCCGCGACCCTCTGATGGGAGATTATCTCTTTGAAGAGGAGAACCCCTTTAAATCTGCCAATAATCCGTTCGAAGAAGGTATTCGCATTATGAAAGATGGTGGTAATCTCTCCCTCGCCGCCCTTGCATTCGAAGCTGCAGTGCAGAAAGATCCCAATCATATCAAAGCATGGACCATGCTTGGCTCTGCCCAGGCGCAGAATGAAAAGGAAAGTCCCGCTATCCGCGCATTAGAACAAGCCTTGAAACTTGATCCAAATAACCTAGATGCCCTTATGGGCCTTGCTGTCTCATATACGAACGAAGGCTACGACTCGACCGCCTACCGCACCCTCGAACGGTGGCTGTCGGTCAAGTATCCTCAACTCGTCGACCCAAATTCACTCTCGGCAGACACCGACCTCAGCTTTACAGATCGACACATTCTACACGAAAGAGTAACCGATCTCTTCATCCAGGCTGCACAGCTCTCTCCTCAGGGTGAGCACATGGACCCAGATGTTCAAGTTGGCCTAGGCGTCCTTTTCTACGGCGCGGAAGAATACCATAAAGCTGTCGACTGCTTCAGCGCTGCCCTTGCATCGACCGAATCCGGCAGCTCAAACCAGTCGGATCAGGTGCATCTTCTTTGGAACCGTCTCGGGGCCACCCTTGCCAACTCGGGCCGGTCCGAAGAGGCTATTGAAGCTTACGAGAAAGCTCTCACCATTAACCCCAACTTTGTTCGTGCTAGATACAATCTGGGCGTATCGTGTATTAATATCGGTTGCTTCCCAGAGGCTGTACAGCATCTGCTGGGTGCTCTGTCGATGCACAAAGTTGTGGAGGAAGAAGGACGAGAACGGGCCAGAGATATTGTTGGTGATTCTATTGGCGATGCGCAGTTGGAGCATATGATTCATATTTCACAGAATCAGAGCACGAATTTGTATGATACCCTGCGACGGGTGTTTAGCCAGATGGGACGGCGGGATCTCAGTGATCTGGTGGTTAGTGGGATGGATGTTTCGGTTTTCAGATCGGAGTTCGAGTTTTAGAAATGGTGTCTCAGTGGTAGAGGAAATGGGAAGGTCTGTAAATTGGCTTGGAAATTTGAAGGGAGGGATCAGCTGAATTGGATTTTTTTTTTTTTTTTTTTTTTTTTTTGAAATGAGATAGGAGAGTCTGCAGGATTTAAGAGATTTATGCGCCTCTTATGTGCAGAGGAGGTTTATCTTAATGGCTTGCTGCTTTTCTTTGTATCTTCGGTGGCCAACCTTTTGTTTCGATTTGATAGAGGATTCCTCGGCGGGGCTCCATGTCTTTTCTTCTTTACTCCACTCATATCCTGCATCCTTCCCAAATGCAATATAAACCGACAATGTTCTGAACCGCTTTTACGCATCCAACTGTTGTTGTACACTGTTGTATCCATTGATTATAGAGAGAGATCACTAAAATTTCGTCTAAATTTTAGCAAAGTAGATTAATGGGTTTATAACCTTTACAATCTCTTTGGGGACATCTATCAGGCCGAATATGTTTTGATTTATTTAACTTATTATTGGCTTTTCTCATGGAGATATAAGAGCGAAAGTATTGGACAAGGGAAAAGGGCCTGCCCGCTTATTCAGCTGCGGGCATTTAATGAACCTCGGAGCTCCCCCAACTCTTGCGTCACAGAGATTCCATCCCAACATAACATTAACCTTCATCTCCGCCGCGGGGTAAGGAACCCAACCCTTCTATCCTTTACGATTGCTGGCCCTCTGTAATGCTCTTAAAAAACAGACACTGAGGCAACAACTCAAAACAGGCTCCCCCGAATTTCATCCAGTCGCACTGAGCGCCTTTAATTCACCAGCCACCCGTGAATCTGCGCGCCTTACATTGAATCACCCGCTTCCCTAGATAAAAAGGGTTTACCGTATTCGAGGGAGGTGCATACGCGCGAGAAAGAGTGAACTTGCCATGCCCCCTTTAACCGGGGCCCAAATCGTGGCCCGCTCCCTCTACGATTTGGGAGTCAGCGTCATTTTTGGAATTGTCGGCATCCCCGTCGTAGAAATCGCAGAGGAAGCTATTAATCTGGGGATTCGGTTTATCGCATTTAGAAACGAGCAAGCCTGTAGCTATGCGGCAAGCGTGTTTGGATACATGTCAGGCAAACCGGGTGTTTGTTTGGTTGTGGGTGGACCGGGGGTTTTACATGCAATGGCTGGGGTGAGTAGTTCTCTACTTTTTGCATCTATTCTGCTATTTTGAAGATCTGTTGGAGAAATTCAACTGTTAAAAGAGAGATGTTGAAATCGTTTGGGAACATGAATTTAGATTGGAAATTCCACCGTGAACACATTCCCATTACTTGTCCTCGCCGGTTCGACAGAAACGCACATGGTGACAAAGGGTGGATTCCAAGAGATGGACGCCATCACCCTCCTTACTCCTCACACAAAGCTCGCCATACGGCCCTTTTCACCGGAATCAGTGACTAATGCGATTCGAAATGCATATAGAACATGCTGGTATGGAAGACCGGGGACGACCTTCATCGACCTGCCCGCGGACTTGATTCAAGGCAAAGCCCCAGAGGGATTCTCGCTACCACCGCGAGAGCGTATCGTTGTCCCATCTCCACCTAAGCCCAGCGGCGATCCAGTGGTTATATCGAAAGTGGCACGACTACTAAAGTCCGCACGCGCCCCGCTTGTCGTCGTTGGGAAAGGTTCCGCGTATGCGCGAGCAGAATCATCCATCCTTGAATTCGTGGAGAAAACTGGGATTCCTTTCCTACCAACTCCTATGGGCAAGGGTGTGATACCAGACTCTCACCCTCTCAACACATCAAGTGCACGAAGCGCGGCCCTGAAAAATGCAGACGTCGTTATCCTACTTGGGGCTCGCCTCAATTGGATTCTCCACTTTGGCGAAACGCCCCGCTGGTCACGCTCCGTTAAGTTTATTCAAGTAGATATCAACGTGGAGGAGATTGGGAATAATGCGGGAGATGCGGAGCTGGGAATAGTGGGCGATATAAGCTTGGTGATCCAGCAACTTCTTTCCTCCCTATCGAATTGGAAGTACAAGCCTTCCTCCCCCACGTCTCCAAACTCATACCCGTCCATCCTCGCTGCCTCAGCCTCAAAGAACGAAAATGCCTCACAAGAAAAGGCACTCCTACCCACCAAACCCAACGGTTTCTTGACTTATCAGCGTACCTATCATATTATAAAAACTGTTCTAAATACCCTCTCGCCGCCGGAACAAGGCAACATAGTCTACGTCTCTGAGGGCGCTAATACAATGGATATCTCCCGCTCCTCATTCCCGGTTGAACAACCACGGCAACGTCTTGATGCGGGGACATACGCTACCATGGGTGTCGGATTGGGCTACATCGTCGCAGCGCATGCTGCTTACAACCTACCGTCATCGCCAGGAGAGAAAATCCCCCAAAAGCAGAAGAAGATCGTGGCGATGGAAGGGGATAGCGCATTCGGATTTAGTGCGATGGAAGTTGAAACGCTGGCGCGTCATCGTATTCCGGCGCTGATCTTCGTCATGAATAATTCGGGCATTTACCATGGTGATACGCAGACGAAGGACGAGTGGAAGACTCTACAGGATGAGACACTTACATCTACGAATGTGGCGAAGGGCGGTTTGCGATCGACGAGTCTGCTGTATGAGACCCGCTATGAGCATCTGGCGGCGATGTGTGGGGGGCGGGGATACTTTGTGCGGACGGAGGAGGAGCTGGAGAAGGCGACGAGGGAAGGGTTTTTGGAGGATGAGAGGGTGACTATTGTCAATGTGATTGTGGAGCCGGGGATTGGGCAGTCGATACAGTTTGGGTGGCAGGCGGCTAAGGAGAAGGGGACGGAGGCGAAATTGTGAGGGGCGAAAGTGGCTATGCGTGTGTTGTTTTTTGGTTTTGTTGGATGGATGCATTTTGTGTATATCATTACTGAACTTTACTACTGATATCGGGAATATATACTGCGTAATAGTAATTAGGCGATGTAAATGTATGACTTCTTCTACTTTGGAAGTTGGGAAAAGGGGATGATGTCACATGATCGATTTATGCTTAAATATACTTTAAACCCAAACAGGTTAGTGTGTTGTTAAATAAGGTTATGTCGCTTGGCCTTGCTGACATAATGTGAGATGATGGCCCTGGCAAGAAAAAGCAACGAACAACGGCCACATTGCATCTTCAAGGGCTCGGAGGAGGACATCGTATGTGTTCGGATTCGGGGAGCCAGAGACAAAAGGGATGGACAACAACTGTAGTGTCCGTGCTTTAAAAAGACTCCTGCTCCCTTTGCTTTCCATCAAGTGGCCTAATACTCTTGTTTGATACAGAGTTACATTTAACTACTCTGCCCAAGCTTCATGCACCTAACATCGCAGGGCCAAACCAAATAGCTACACATCGTACGCTCGCTCGGCTTTTCTCTTCTCTTCTCTCCAGATCTCTTATATACCACATCGTCTTTCTCTCAAGAACACCATAACAGTCCTTAGAATTTCCTGTTTATTTTCCAGCGCCTAACCTTTAGCGGTATTCCTCTTCCATGCCTGTTGCAACCCTAAGCCTACCCGCGACGTACACATAGACGCCTATGCGGAGTACCGTAGGCCCCGGCGTATCCCCTATGCAGTAATCAGAAAGTCCAATCTCAATTTTTCATCGGAACAATTAAGAAATGCGTTCCGCTTCCCAACTGTTCTACCTGGCTATTTTCGCCTGCGTGAATTCAGCTCAGGGAGAGACCTCTGTCTCCAGAGCCAGACCTCATCTTGACAACGCCTGCGCGGTAAGTTTTGATCTTTCCAGCTGGAAAGACACCCGTTTTGTACAATATAGATTATCCAACAACCTGTATCTTGAGCAGATCGACCCGAAAGCAACCGTCACAGATGCTTGTGCCTCATTCTCCACTCTAGAATCCATCAACGCCAAAATATCACCACTCGTCAAGTCCATTACCCATGATACAGACTTCTTCTCCTACTACCGTCTCAACTTGTTCAACAAGCAATGCCTCTTTTGGTCTGACGAAGCGGGAATGTGCGGGAATATTGCCTGTGCGGTGAATACACTGGATTCGGAGGAGGATATCCCCCCTATCTGGCGGGCAGAGGAGCTGAGCAAGTTGGAAGGCCCCAAGGCGGGACATCCGGGGAAAAAGCTTCAGCAGGAACGTCCAAAGGAAAAGCCGCTCCAGGGTATGCTGGGGGAGAACGTGGGAGAGACCTGTGTTGTCGAGTATGATGACGAATGTGATCAGCGGGACTATTGTGTGCCAGAAGACGAAGGCGCAACAGAGAAAGGAGACTATGTGAGTTTGCTAGATAATCCGGAGAGATATACTGGTTACGCGGGAATGGGAGCGAGACAGGTGTGGAACGCGATATATCGTGAGAACTGCTTCCTGAAGCCCCTCCCCACGTCTCAACCAAAGTTTTCCCCCAAGTTCCACTTGGGTAATCTCCAAGCGGCGAGGGATTTCAAAAGTGTCCTGAATAAACATGAGCGGGACCAGGTCGTCACTGGTGCGATACGGAATGAGGCCTATCCTCTAGACGACGAATGCCTGGAGAAACGTGTCTTCCATCGACTCATCAGTGGCATGCATGCATCCATCTCCACACACCTATGCTGGGACTATTTCAACCAGAAAACAGGCCAATGGCTCCCTAACCTCCAATGCTACAAAGAACGCCTACACGACCATCCAGAACGCATCTCAAACCTCCACTTCAACTTCGCCGTCCTCGTCCGCGCCGTGTCTAAGCTACAAAAGCATCTACAGACCTACTCTTTCTGCTCCAGCGATCCGCAACAGGATCAGGACACGCGCCAAAAAGTGCTTGCGCTCATCGACACCGTTGCCTCGCAACCCAAAATTTTCGATGAGACCATCATGTTCCGCGACGAGGCTGCAAATGGCCTCAAGGAGGATTTCCGCAACCGCTTCCGCAACGTCAGCCGGATCATGGACTGTATTGGCTGTGACAAGTGTCGGTTATGGGGCAAGCTGCAGACGGCCGGCTATGGTGCGGCGCTGAAGATCCTGTTTGAATTCGACGAGACGAAGAATGGCGATAACCCGCCGCTGAGGCGGACGGAGCTGGTGGCGCTTATCAATACGCTCGGGCGCGTGTCACATAGTCTTTCTGCTGTTCAGAGCTTTGAGCATGCGATTATGTCTGGCGCGGAGGACAGTTTACCCGTTCACACTACTGTTCCGAAGTTTTCTCCAGTCTCACCTGGTGGTAAATCTATAGCTGAATCCGGCGGTGGGAAGAAGGATGGAGTGAGGGATGGTCCACCGCCGGAAAAGGGTCCAGAGCAACGTGGCAGGAACTTACCGGTTGATGATTTAGAGGATGACGATAATGAGTGGTCGCAGGGCACAAAAAATCCCCGTTCTAAGACTGCGAAAGGAGGGGAGAGTATCATGGATCTTTTCTGGGAAGAATTCAATCTGGTGTGGCGGACGTATATATATGTGCTTAAGGGGTGGATTAACTTTCCTAGCACGGCGTGAGTTGCAACCCTCTCCTCTCTCCGTCCCTTTTTCCGCCCCTCTTCCATCCACGAGATGTATTCTAAATTCCACTTTACAGATGGAGAATCCTGCTCATGGAACTCAACCGGCTATGGGATTATTGGCTAGGCCTCCCCGTCCCGCCCCGGTCGTGGGAGATACATATTCCTCGGCACGATGAAATATAAAACCATTAGATGGATACTTTCGTATATAAGAGAAACGACAACAACATAATGTATTACTTACTGGTCCTTATTGAAGGGCCTATCTAAGTATATATATATATGGATCATGGAAACATGCAGCACTTACACACACACACACACACACACTGTGTATGAAAATCTGGTATATGAGGTGAAAAGGCGTTCGAGCGCTTTGGGCAGTTTACTTCATTCTAATACTTGGGCGGGAATTTTTCCACCTCCCCTCTTCCCCCCTTTTATCGTTGGCGTTTTTCTGTGGGACTGCGCAATTGTTGATCTCTACGCTTCGTGATATTTTTCCCTTCTTCCCCTCATCAATTCCATTCCATTCTCATTTCTGTATACATCGCATACCTATATATAAATAATATAAATAATACAATACATCCCATGTATATTGATGTAGTTAGTGTCACGGCGAATTGGACTGCAGCTGGTGCCAATTGGTTCAGTATAAACACGCACGGCGGACAATCCCCGACCCGTTTAAAGGTTATTCTGGGTTCCATCCAATGCCATTGCCCGTAGGACTTCCTGGTAACAACCCATGGATGCTTGCTCCAAGGGTTCATCTTCGATTCCGAGATCAGTTTGGGGCAACAACCAGTTGTCGGGCGCAGCAAAACTTTTCTTGTAAATAGTTTACCAATCGCAGGGGTTGCTGGTGTCCAATCCTCCCTGTGTTTCGAAATCATCCCATTATCGTATTGTTATATGACATGCCACCCGGGCTGCCATGGGGCAGTTTTGATGGGTGTAAGTGCTTTCATGATGTCATTGGTTTGTATATACACCGGGGGGATGTATTTTCAAGCCCAGTAAGTTTTCTGGTGGAATTATTTTAAATATATACATGGACACACAGTATTTGTATAACTACTTGTTAGTATTTGATCATTATGATGTTCATACGGTTGTGAATGCGAAGATTGAAGTCAGCTGTTGTACTTAGACCTTGTACTGAGAAACTAGCGGCGGGGATTTAGATAACCGCCTGCAGACTGCACTTGTGATACCGTTCTAACAGCTGATAATAAAGACTTAAATGAGTTTCTTTGGATCTTATTTGCTCATCCACAAACATTGTTAAGAAAAGGACCCGTTTCGTAGATCTAAACGCTGTACTTGTTCCCAACGTTGAATTTTTTGGCCCTCCTCGAACATCCTCGGTTCAAAGATCTACTCGAAAACTCTCCCCGCAACCTCTGCTTAGTCATCCCACCCTTCTCATCCTCGGCCAAACCCGCCTCCCAAGCTAAAAAAACATCGCCGTCCCAAGACTTCCCAACTTTTTCAACCTCCTACGCAACTGCACTCATCACACCTAAGTGTCTCTAGCAACGAAATCATAGCAGGAGAGAGAGAGAGAGAGAGAGAGAGAGAGAGAGAGAGGGAAAGTGGAAAGCAGAAAGCGGAAAGCAGAAAGGGTCTCTTGGGTTTCTCCATTCACATTCCTGGTCATCAAGCTCCTTTGGCCACTCTTGGAACAAGATATCATCGCATTAGAACATTCCAGTGACATTGCTTATACTCCACCATCACTCAGAGGTGACAAAGGGTCTCCCACAAGGTGTGAATTTGTGTAGGCGTTGCACAAATGGCGTCAGCATCACCACCTAAGCCCTGGGAGAGAGCTGGCGCCGGTGTTGGTGCTGCTGGTAAGTCCTACTACTTTCACCCCTTGAAGATATCCATGGATGAGTCAAAAGAGAGAGAGAGAGAGATAGTTTCTTTTCCTTGTCCCTATTCATTTGCTATATCTGCTATTGCACATTGAAGCAATGCCTGGCTAACAATATAACACCTGCGTGGGCCGAATAGTTTCTTCCGCGATCACAGCTCCGCTATCCACATCCCCCTCTGCTACATCCGCTACGACGATTTCCACCTCTGCAAACAGCATATCCTCTTCTGCCCCAGAATTGCCCTCTCGACCCAGCACTCTCAACTCTGTCGTTAACCAGACTGCATCAAACTACTCCCCCTATGGCGCGTCGCGAATAGGACAGACTCCATATGGTGGTGGTGGATATGGGGCCTACAGTAGTTACTCATCACCATATTCGCGGCTAGGAGGTATGGGATCGATGTATGGTGGATATGGGGGTGGATACGGGGGCATGTATGGTGGGATGGGTGGGATGGGTGGATACGGAGGCATGTACGGGGGGATGCCGCCCGGGGGAGACCCGAATAGCTTAACACACTCTTTCAATCAGAGTACCCAAGCTACATTCCAGATCATTGAGAGTATTGTTGGCGCGTTTGGAGGATTTGCCCAGATGCTAGAGAGCACTTATATGGCTACTCATAGCTCGTTTTTCGGTATGTTTCCTTTGGGTTTGGGTTTATGGCGGTATCCCTACACATATTGTATTCTTATACTAACGGAATTATTCAGCTATGGTATCCGTTGCAGAGCAATTTGGCAATCTACGAAATACCCTAGGCTCTGTCCTAGGCATCTTCACCCTCCTCAGATGGATAAGAACCCTTATCGCTAAACTCACCGGCCGCCCACCTCCCGCGGACGCAACATCCCTTACCCCATCCGCATTTGCCGCTTTCACAGGAAAGGGCCATGGACCCCCAACACTCCCAGATGGCTCCCCAGCACCCGCCCGCCCCTCCAAAAAGCCGTTCTTCTTCTTCCTTGCCGCAGTCTTCGGCCTTCCCTACCTCATGGGCAAGCTCATTCGCGCCCTTGCCCGCTCCCAGGAACTCGAAGCCAGACGCATGACGATGATTGGTCCGAACGGCGAACCCCTCCCAGCCAATCCACAAAACGCCATCGACCCTTCAAAGCTCGACTTCTGCCGTGTCCTCTACGACTACACCCCGGAAGCCCATAACACCGCCGGCGTCGACCTTGCTGTGAAGAAGGGCGATCTCGTCGCTGTTCTCAGCAGGTCGGATCCCATGGGTAACCCATCTGAATGGTGGCGATGCAGAGCTCGCGATGGCACCGTCGGATACCTTCCCAGCCCTTACTTGGAGACCATCCAGCGAAAACCGCAGCAGCAGGCTATCACGGCTGGTGCTACTGTATCTTTGCCTGCATCGAGGAGTAATACCCTTCTAGGTGTTGGAGCGGGTGGCGATGACCAGTTGAAGCAGCGGGCAAATAGCTTGAAAGCAGCTAATGGCAAACCAGAGATCAAGGGGAAGATGGGAGATATCTCCCCGGAGAGCTTTCAGAAGAATACGTTCTATTCGTGAAACTGTGTATAAAAGATGAAAACGTAATTGAAGATTTGAGTGGCTGACTGATTGGGCAGTTATCTTTTTCGGTGGTTTTTGGCTTTCTCTGAGGGTTTAGCTGGCCAGTTTTTCTCTTTGGTTTGGTCAGTTGCTAGTTTTGGCTGGGGTAATGACTGATTTCTGCTTCGTTTCTTATTTTTTCTTCGGTGTCTGGATCCTTGATACTCATTTTTTTTCTTTTTCCTTTTTCTTTTTCTCCATTCTCCCTTGGTTTTCGGCATTTGTGAATACATCATGTCCCGTCTACGCGCCCATCGGGTATAGTGTTTTAATTTCATTTGTTCCATTCTGTGTTTCAGTATGTATGTCTTACAAGGCGTTTAGGTATGTACGTTATGGGGTTATCGGATGAAATGAAACAGCTGTGACTGAAGTATGGAGACACCAGGTCTAGATGAAGTCTGAATGCAGAGCAGAAGCATGCGAACGTCTTTCATTTTACGTGTTTCACTCTCCTTAACTTCCTCCCCACGGCTCCTTTCTCTTTCTACATCCTAACCGTATCATCGTTTCTTCTTATTCAGTTGAAACTAAGTAGGTGTCAACTATCATTGCTTTGCTCCAGAACAACGAGTCACAGAGACCAATACATATGCAAAGATTATTCAGTGTCGAGGATCCCACCTGTTAGTCGGGCCGCAAATACTCATCTCTAGGTACTTTTCCAAAGTAGAAAAAAAAAAAAAAGAATCGTATTTCCCCTTCCTATCCATCCACCATCTCCCACCCTTCCCCAAACCCACCATCATCCCCTTCCATTTCCACTCCCTCTCCTTTTCCCGTCTTTACCACCACCACCACCTCCTCCTCCTCCTCCTCCTCCTCCTCCTCAGCCTCCCCTTTCCCCTCTTCCCCTACCCCAAAATACGCAGGAATCTCCCCTCGATCTGGTATCACATACATGATCCTCGCATCCTCACTCCTCCACAACTCATCCGAATAATACACCCTCCACAACCCCTCCCAGCACAGTTCTGGATTCTCTAAAAGAAACTGCTCGAAGAATCGCACTCGCATCGCCGTCTCCGGTTATCTCCTCATCTGATGAGAAGGAGAGCTTAGCCGCCAGCTCGCAAATTTGGCGTGGAACGAAGAGACCTTGTCGGTCTCGATGAACGCGTGCAAAACCATGTGGGACCAGAAGACTGCAGCCGTATATCTCTGCTTGGTTTCATGAGGTCGGCCTTGCTGGTGAAGGAACGAAGTAGCATCCCATGATGCAGTAGAGAGGGAAGAGGTTCTCCTGCTGTCATTTCTGTCGCCATCAGGCAGGATTTCAGCGTCTAACAGATAGTTAAAGATGCGACATACTAGCATCGCATGTGTAGCTGGGATCATGGAATTGTTGAAGCTACTATTGCTGGCTTCTTTCACTGCCCAGCGCACTTCCAGCAGTAGCTCTTCCGCACTTGGGTTACTGGAGCAGTACGACAATGATGCGTCGCTCGCAGAATATGGATATTTCTCATATAATACCGAAGCCACAGCCCGCTGAATCAGCCATTGCTCAGGTGTCTGTAGCGCTGTTGGTAGTGACTTTAAGTCCGGAAGTGCGGTGTGTGCACGCGCTTTGAGGCTAGTCCACAGTTTCTCAGTATAGTATCGTCTCCATATGTCGTCAGTTTCAAAGAGTGAGGGGAAGAGGATAGAGATACTTTTGAAGTGGAGGTTGGTGATGTCTAGTCCTGAGTTAGTGGGGATAGATTCTAACGCTGCATGCAGCATCTGGATCCAGAAGAAGGCCTGGGTTTCGGAATAGGGGTCTATATATGTTGTGCGATTGGAAGATGATGCCAACGTAGCTCGAAGCCGCATTATATGTGACTGGAGGACAGACATAGTCTCGCTAATAATTGTGTCACGACGCCATTTAGAGAGTGTCATGGTCTTAAAAGTTGCGAAGGCAAAGCGTTTATAGATTTCTGAGGATTTCTTAATTGTGCATAGTTGTGTGTAGAGATCCTCGGGCTTGTTTGTCTCTTGGGTTTGGAGAGTTCGTTGTTGGCTCTCTGCTCGACAGCTTATGTGATGAGGAAGTGATTTTATGTTGAGGAGTTTCCAGCCGTTTTTAGCCTCAGGACTGGACAAAACATCCTTGGAATAATACAAATCCCAGGAAGAGCTATCTGTAAGATCAGGATTCTCCAAAATAACGTCATTGAATCCTTTGCGGTCGGGAAATAAACCGGTCCTTTTGTAGAAGGAGAGCATGTTGTGATAGATCCGGTGAAGCCAAAATATTGTCAATGTCCTAAATATGTTTACCGATCGTCTTATCAGCTAAACATCTTCTTGCTAGAAGTGGCAGATGCAATAATAACAGCCACAACTAAGGGGCCAAGAGACGGACCTATGGGGCGAAGTATCTCGAAATTTATGCGGCGCAGCCTTCAACATCATATCTAGCCGCTCAAGAAACAAATCAGCAGCATCGAATATCACGCTTTCCTTGAGAATACACTTTTTGAGTGTTAGGAACCCAGCACGCAAATGGTCCTGATGATCCCATTTTTCCAGTTCCCCAGAAATCATCCGTCGCATAAATTCATCTGAATCTAACTGGTCATTCACATCGTTGGATCCTGTCTCTTTTCTCCCCAGGAAATCATCTGACAAAGGTTTTGGGGCACGTAGACTGGAATGATGTGGCGGCACCATAGCCTTCATCGAAACACCTTGGACATAGTTTTTCTCCATTCGAGCTGCAAGGATGAGTCTGAGCATCTGTAGCTCCACTAAGTTGGTCTAAATCATCGTACAGTTCGCATGGATATGACAATTTCGGTCTGTACTCGTCCAGAACCTCCTTCACGCTTGAGATTTGTCTTTCGACTCGAGGATCACCACGGAGCATCTGGTTGCGATTGGTAAAGATCACAGCTAGGTATTTGGCTTCAGTTATTCTTCCCAGGATATGTTTTAGATCTTCAATAGCATTATTGAGCTATGTGAGTGCCATGTTGATCGAAGATCTCTGTAGGATCCATGGCAAACAAAAACAGGACGTCCGGACCTTGGTATTGTTGGAAGAGCCCTTGTGGAGTTCGTTCACATCCGCCTATATCGTTCAAGTCAATCATCTGTTTAGAAGGGCGCCTTTCTCTGACGCTTCATGTGCTTAATGTAACGAAGGAAAGGCAAAAGAACAATGAAATCTAGAAAGAAACATCACCACGATCCAGTTCTAAATCGAGAAACAGGGAGACATACACCCTATATCCCAGAAAGTAATATTGATGCCCTCAGAAAGTACATGGACCGTCTCGACTAATAATACCCGATTAGCTCTATTTCAAGGCGCCACGGGTGGGGATGGAGGGAAACAGTGTACACACCATTGGAAGTCTGGCGCATTGTGGGAATCGTAGCTATTTGTTCCTTCAGCTTGAGCTGGCATAAAAGGGTGGTCTTCCCCGTATTGCCCTGTCCCAATATAATGCATCGGTAATAGTTTTTATCTTTGAAGAACCTATTGGCATAGGAAATTCCTGGAAGGCTAAAATTCACCATCATTAATGAAAGAATGTAAAAATGAGAACGGTACAAAATGAAAATAAATTGAATAACAATATATAGTTATTGCTTCAATTTTTGAATGGCACAAAAGATAATGGATCTCAGGCTCATTGTCATTATATATATACATCGACCCCCAGCAGCCCCACACCCCCATGATCTCTAGTCGTAGAAATATGATATGTGGCTTTTGCGCTGAGAGATGCAGGCAGCTCAATTATTGTTTTACTCACGGATATCTTCAGAAATATACCTCGTCGAACAGCTGGACAGAGAGAATGTTTAAAATAGTAGGCATCAATATTCGAGAGCCACCAGCGCTGAAGGACCTTAGCGGCGGACAGCTTCAGTTCCCCGCAAGCTGATGCCATAACTCAGTTTGTTGGACAGCAGATTAGGGTGGAATGCCACTTGACAACATCCTGAACGATGATGCTCTGGATGCTGTAGTTTGATAGTAATAATCTTGTCTTTTTTTTTTTTTTTTTTTTTTTTTTTTTTTTTTTTTTATATATATATATATATATATATATATTCCCCACGGATACTGAGCTTCGAGAATGGTTGAAATGCCGGCTTGCTTCGCCTTCCTATTGGTCAATAGGCGCAAGTAGTTGGGCAACAGTGTTTAGTTCAACTCGAAGGCCCAAAGCTCAGGCTCTCAAATGCAGTGGTCGGCTTGCAATTTATCCCTCTTCCATTCCTGAGTGTAAAATAGGATGTGCAGATACGTATACACCCAATGAACAACATGGACACGATACAGCTTGCGACTACTCAACAACTTGGAAAATTACCCAACCCACACGGTCAATCAAGTTCATGCTCTGCTGTCAGTTCCTTCACAGTTAAACAATCTACTACGTGGCTTTTCACTAGGGACCCCATTCTTTTCTCTCCACGGCAACGAAGACTTAGCCTTGTTTCAAAAATCGTCCAGGTTTGCTTTGTTTTGCTGTCCCACCCTGATGGACGTCGGCAGTTTAAACCGGGGAATTCCGTAGTGAATTATGACAAAGAGATATCTTCTTTGAGATAGACGCAATTTTTCTTGCTGGACCACATGCATATATCTGCATTGCTTCCTTTGGGTGAAATTGCTAGTGAAGCCCAAATTTAAGCCCCCCGTACAACAGACTTGCAACCCCACCTCCCCTTCCTTTGCCCCTATCTGTGAGCACTGGAACCTCGACAGAATATCATTCCTCACTCATCCGAATATAGCATGCCTATCATGTGGCTTTTGGTCCTTCTGCCGTCTATTGAGGTGTCAAAATGGCATATTTATGTCGTCAAGGAGTCCATGCTCGGCGATCAACCTGAATTCAAGAGACACTTTCCAAAACAATAGCAAACAGAGTGTCACAGTTCAGCTCCTATTGGCCAAGCCGAGTCTCAACACAGGACAATTATTCCAGAGAGCTCTTTAATTGAAGATGCTAATCCGTAATGAGGGATAGCACACACAGATACTCAATTGCCACAGAAAAATCTCGCCAAAATTTCAATGCTGCTAGGAATGATCTAGGGCAAGTTAAAATCTGGTATCCATGTGTGATTCCTAATATGTAAAACCTACACCGACAACTAATTCAAAAAGCGCCACCAGGATATACTCGTCGTATTGACATTCAAAACACTGTCAGCCATCCAGACCGTCCAGTAAGACTGCGATCATCCATTTCATGGTATTGGCATGCCGCCCAATCGATCCTCGCCTTGAGATTCGGGGACTGGTTTACTCGGGAAATGAAACTGGTGTTGTTAGATAAGTCCAGTTTGATCTTCCCATAAATGGTTCGTTTCGAACTAGCGCTGGTATATTGCGAGTCGTTTTGTATTCTAAGCCTTGGAGTTGTGTAGGAATACAAAAGCTTGTTACTGTTCCCTTTACTTCCGACTTCAACGACCCAGAACAATCGAAGTCGTAGCTGGGACAGGAGCACTACTAGAGCCTGTGCTTGTAACATTGCTCGTATGGGCCAAGAGGAATTTGCAACATGTAAGTGTGTACTTGCAGGCGCGCGTCCACGTTTCATCATTTTGGTTGAAGCCTAACTTGATGCTGGCGTCTCCAATTTTATCCCGTTTGATCTCGTAGGGTAGTTTGAGGCCTAGAACCTGTGCCTGGAGGGTACGTGTGGCTGGCGAACGCTCCCCCGATCTGGGATGCCGGTGAGAGGATGGGGAATGGGCACGTAGGGAAATAGGCGTGTTCTCCACGTGCTCTCCTAGCTGCCGTAGACATTCAAGAAAGGCAACCATACCAGCATCAAAACGGCGGTGGATCCATGGGAGGTGTAAAGGGAGATCACCCGAAGAGTAGAGATCGAGGGACGTAATCTTTGGCGGTGGAAGCGCATCGGGATGATTTGCTGTTGGCGTGCCTCGGTGAGATATGTTCGTATTTAGCGACTGCTGTGGGTACTCTATCTTTTCGATCCTCGAAGTAGATCCCAAAGGTTTTAATCTGTATCCTTGAAATTGGAAGCCTAGTTTGTCGGCGACAGCAGCCAGAAGAAGGAGGGTTTGGCCCCAGGCAGCATTTATCTCGGACCACTCAACAGATGGGTTCGCGAGACGGCCAAGGCGCAATCCATTAATGGTGCCAAAATACCCATCATGCCCTATGCAAAAAGTGTCGTTGTATACGTTTGTCCGCTGAAGTCGCTCAAGTTGCCGAGAATCGTGATCATACTTCATATTCAAAGCATCCCGTTCATTCTGGAACTCAGAGAGGGTCAAGGCAAATGCGTTTCGGTCACTCCAGAACTGTTCTTCTTCCAGGTCAAGCTGACGGGACTGCTCCTCTAGCTCAGCAATATCTATATCAACCTGAGCCTTCTCCTTCTCTAGGGCTAAAAGTTCTTGAAATGCATCTTCCTCGGCTTGCAGTGTCGCTTTGAGTTCATCTTCCGCAGCCTGTACTTCTTCTGGGGCGGGAATAGAGTTATTTAAATTTTTTAGAAAGGATATATATGCATCACGTTCCTTTGTCCCAGTTTGCAGCCGTTTTTGAAGCCCTTCGATAAGCATATCTGTGCATTCAGTGCATATTGGGTGATCAATATCGGAACGAGCAGATATGATCTCGAAAAGACGAGCAGATTTTTCAACCTGATCGGAGTATGCTTGGCCCTCATGCGCCCCTCGTTGGGGTTCAGATACGACGGGCAAGCCACCCTTTGATGCTCGACGGCCATCACCATTTACAGTCGGAGCGGCATGCGCAGGAACCACCTGAGATTCACTCAGCATCACAAACGACATGCCGGGTCCATCTCTCACACCTGCTCGGGACTGTCCGAGCAAACTTCCTGAACTATACCGAGGGGCGGGGACTGTTCTTTTGTAAACAGGGGTCGTCGCTCGCCGAGAAGCCTTGTCGTAGAGCTGCTGTCGCTCAGGAGGGAAGGTCGGGCGCGCAGCAGACTTGCTGGAAGGGTCGGGCAATGACTTGCCAGTCGAACCTGATACACGTCAGATTTTGTAAGTTACTTGGGGTATAAGCATTTTTACCTATGAGAAGATCGAAGGCAGCCGGGTTCAGATCCTCAAGGGAACCGTCGAGCTTGAGAGGCGTACGGCACTTTTGGCAGTACATGGTTGAGGTGTGGAAAGCCCTCATATATCATGGTTGAAGTCGAGAATCGAGTGGGCTCACACACGCTCAGAAATCTGGATTCAAGCTCCGTTTGAGCATTGCGGGACATGAGCCGTGGTATGCAGTATGGAGGTTGGTGGTGTTGAAGCTGTTTTATGTGGTTGATGTCAGGAGGCTCTGTGGCTGCGGCTAGCAGGACCATCCCTAACATTACTAGGGACCACCCCCCAGAGCTTACATAATGATCACGTGAGTGCTATTACTCCCAGGACCACGCAGGGACCGCAGGGCTGGAGAGTCAGAAAACATCTGAAATCTTGAATTTGAACATGATAACTCTGATGAGTTGAGATATCTCTATGACCCTGGATTTCAGACTATTGACTAACATTTGATTCAGCTGTAGCTGTGCAGGCTGCTGCTACAGCTTCAACATAACTAGTTGATATATTCAAGTCATCAGCTTAAGCTGAAACTCTTTTGATTCCACATAACCTGGAGGAAATTGTCCTCAACACTCTTCAGGTAGCCCTTGCAGAATCTGCCGCAGCTGGTGCAGATCAATTCAATTACCAAGAATCAGATCAAGGCTCGGAGCCTGAGCCTGACCCTGAGTCTCAAGTGAAAGTCAAACTACAATCTGAGCCTAATGTCTTTTAGATTGATATTCAAAAACACTCACAACTGGATGAATATACAGCAACTGGTGATAATGAAGTTCAGTCAGTGATTGATCAACTTAATGCATTTGCTGAGCCTTGAGGGTTCTGCATAGTCATCTGAAAATTGAGGAAGAAGCAGGCCTGAAGTGCTGTTAATACTGAAATCACCTCTGTTGATCTATGCTATGATTAATCATATGTTTTCAAATCCCTGATTGACTGTGAGAATAGATGAAGAAAGTATATTTCAATTAGAAAAACCTGCTTATGGTGATGCATTCTCAAGCTTTGCAAAAATAAAAAATTAATTTGAAAGCTTGCACTTTCATTTGAGATAATAGAGTCATCTTCTCATAATCATCCAGCTACTTTACTATAAAAATCTCATTGATTATTCAGATGAAGAGATTTTCAAACCTAATTCAGTGATGAAATTGAACAGTTATTCAGGTTGAAAACTCTCAAACCTGTGAATATATACAATATAATTCATGTAATGAATTTTAGATGTTTAATTTATCAAAATAATATATATAAACTGCTATATAAGTTGAAGATTTACAAACAGCAAAAACTCAGCAATATTCAATTCTTTTTTTTTGAATTGAATGAGTCTTTTAAATGAGTTGTTTAATGATAACTGGCTGAAAATAAGATAGAATAAGTATTTTTTACTTACAAACTCTACATTAAGATGAGAAAGCATAATCATAATGTATTATTTATGAACTGCACTTATAATTCAAAATGATTTAAGATAAAGCTATTGAATATTGTTATAATCAACAAGTTCAATAAGATAATTTATATTGCTTTTGAGCTGCTGAAGTATGAGAATAAGAAATATTTTATCTGAACACTATAGCATCTATTTTATTGATCTTGTGAATCAGCAAGAGTCTTGAGCTGTTGCATGAGTGAACAAGATGTTGCATCTCAAACAGTATGCAATATTTTAAGTTGAAGATATTCATCAAATCATTAAAACTAAGTTAGATGATTACAATGATTTTGATCAATTAATTAAGGAAATTGAGCTTTTGATACAGTAATTCTATCAAGAGAACATTGTGAAAATGAATTGTCAACTCATGATAGTGAATCCTGATCTTGCACAGTCACTAGATATAGAGAACATAATCTATTAAAATCTCTGAAGTAAAGTCTTCATCAACATGATAAGAAAAATTGATAATGAGTTGCAAGAAGTTTGTCAGCTGCTGCAGCAGCAGCAGTGACAGCAGAGTAATAATCAATTGTCAGTGTGCAGCAACACCTTCTCTGCTAGCACTAGCTATCCTTGCAAGTATAAGATCAAGGCATGACTTGATGCCAACAAATCACTGCAGCCAGAAGATTTCCACCCTCAGTGGCAGTTTTATCGTGGTGTGAAGCCTGCTGTTGTTTCACAACAGCCAGAGGAAGTGCTCAGAATCTATCTTCCAGTTTGAGACCCTGTTGAATTGATAGCACCATGGGGTCAGATTCTTGCAACTGGTAGAGTGGCATCATTGTTCAAGAATGTGGATATCAAGCTTCAGGAGGCATTCCAGGAAGGTCAGGGGCCAGCACCAGCTGCAGCTGCAGCTGTCAGGCATCCCAGAGCACTGCCCAGGTTTAGTGGCTGCAAAGGAAGAGGTCATACTATTTGAAGATGCCCTGAACACATTGTTAGTACAGCCCCAAACTAGAATATATAGATAATATAGTCTCATTTCAACAATTCCTTTGTTTTTCATCCCTTCCCAGCCTGAATCTTAGGAATATGGAGTCTGTCACACTCCTGCTGCATTAAAACTTCTTCTTCTTATTTGACGCCTGAATGAGCTCCGCGTTGAGATGTTGGCCATTACCTTTTTCGGAAGGATGGTCTTCATAGCAGTAAAAAAGACTTACATAATAGATTATATAAGCAGGGTGGTCCTGGCGGGGATAATATTCACGTGATTTATTATGTAAGCTCTGGGGGGGGGTGGTCCTAGTAATGTTAGGGATGGTCCTGCTAGCCGCAGCCAGGCTCTGTTCCTGATTAGATAAGGCAAGCAAGGACTGGACGCTAACTAAAATAGGAAATCTTATAATTCGGGGCTACCAAACTGAAGAAATACTACAAAAAACCAGCGATTATTTCTTTTGATATTGCTCAAGTTGCTCAACTGGTGCGGTATGTTTTCCGTTTGAAGCGAAGCGGTTCTCGAAAGCTCGCTGACACCTACGGAAACGTTACAGCGTTTTCCAGTCATCTAGATATACTCCCCTCAAGTTACGTTCGTTCCTTGCCTTCGACAAGCAAGTAAACACAGCCTCCACTCAGAAAACTACTGCGATGGCAACCATTTAAGCCGGGGAAATATCTACTCTCATTGATTTGGATTGACACACCTTTTCATTCGCCCTCTCCGTTTGAGTCTAGCCGACTTAGCATATCATCGACATGTTTGCAACGAAGCGACCAACAAAGCGCATGCGTATATTAGGGCCCTGGGATTTGAACCTTGCCAATATAGTGCCCGAAATAGATGTCAATGCCGCACGTCAAGCGAATGATCTGCGGTTGAAGTCACGTTTTGAAGATATATTTGAAAAATATGGAAAGGACTTCAGTTCTGTTGGAGATGAGATTGACTTGGCGACGGGCAGGATCATTATTGACAATGGACATATTGAGAAAATGAGAAATGAGCAGGATCTCGGGGCGCAAAAATGGAGATACGAATTCGATCCTCTTGGTGAAACTGAAGCCACTACGGATCGCCTGGATAAGTCTCCCAATTTTCCGACTATAAATCATTCTAGGCAAAATAAAGAGCCTACGGAGGTCGAAGAAGTTCACCCGAGAAACGTCATTAGTTTTGGGGAGGGCTCTCACAGCATTTGCAGCCGGAATTCTGGGCTTCGTAGTCGAAACGGCTCTCCGTTTGAGAACGGTGTGTCGCCTCGTAATGGTTTCTTGCATAGGACTTCGAGCTATTTGAGCAGAGAACGAGTGAGGACAAGTTCACAATCTGTAGAACCACTCTGGCAAACTTCTGAAATCGACAATCGCCTTTTCGGGTCCTTTCCGGCACCTGCTTTAACCCCGATCTTTCCAAGGAACCGATCTGTTTCACCTCCAAATTCCGGGTCACTATGGGCGCTTCCCCAAACTGGTCGACCAAAATTGTCGCGGACAAAGGGGCGCAAACCTCTTGGGGCGCGAAAAATTCGATCATTGAAAAGATCCAAATCCTCTGATTGTATTTCCCATTCTGATTCGGATGATCCTCTTCAGAATGCCTTTCGTTCTGTTTCCACACCATCCAAAACGCGTACTCCCGCTAAAGCTACCATCGCCGCTTCTACGCTCTGCACTAACAAATCGTCGACAATTATACGAGAGCCTACCAAAAAATCAGATTCGTCTTATCCCTCTCCGTCCTATCCTTTACAAAAATCCGAGTTACATGATCATAAACCTGAGGATGAGATGCCACAATCATCTCCTCAAAACCATGACCAACAAAAACTGGGTATCCTTACAGAGTCGCCTTCATTTCAAGTGAATGATTCCATAGAAAATTCTGTGGAAAGTGAGTCATCTACCAACCCGGAGAATGATATATCTCTATATGAACCTGATTCAATATCAAAAATTCCTGAAACATCAAAGCCAGCAAAACTTAGCACTGCAACCGAGCCTTTAACGCCTAGTGAAATAAGAATTATCTTAACTCTACGGGTAGTACAGAAGCGACCTTGGAAAGAGGTTTACCGCTCCATTCCTGAAAGGACATCTGGGCAGCTAAGACATTGGTACTATGTCCGGTCTGTCGATATCAAAAGATGTCGTCCACCAGAAATATCGTGGACAGAGGAAGTAAAAGATGCGCTGGAGTCTTTTAAGTTGCAATCTGAGGTTTCATGGGAGGATTTAGAAGCTGCACTCAAAGGCCAAACGAGAAATGAGTTACAGTGCGAATGGGCTAAGATATGTCTAGGGGAAGCGTGGGAAGATTGGAAAAGCTCCTATTGTCCACCAACTCAGCAACAGGAGTGGCAATTTAAAACACCGACCAGACTGCCGAAAAGAACTCTGGTTATAAAATCTCCATCACTGGTGAAACTTCTACAACCGGCTCGAACGGTCTCACGTCGACCAGCGCCCCTCACGCCGTTCTCTGCTCCGGCCAAACAAGTCGAGCAAAGTGATGAGAGTGACGATAGTGATGACCCTCTTTCCGAAGCCTTTGACACAGCATGGAGCGGGGCAGGCTTATCTTCGATTCAGGTCGACACGCCTCCCAAAATGCGCACTCCACAGAAGAGGCAAAGTTTGATAAAAATTGCGGCCTCACCCTATAAACGGCGGACCCCAAAAGAGCAGTTCGACGTATAATGTCGTAGTTTTATAGAAAAAGATAGTTTCGACTTCATGTAATCACTTTTTGTATTTTTGTTGAAATTATACACAAAATTTGCCATCTACTCCTCTTCACCCTTTGCATTAAGAACATCCTCGAGCTTGGTATCAACAGCACTTCCAACATTGCCAGCCTTTTCCCAAAATTTCGATAAATGCCGCGTGCCTGAATCGCAAAGTATCGTCACAACCCTGTGCCCAGGTCCAAGTTTTATGGCTGTTTTAACTGCTGCGAAACCTGTGTTCAAATTTGAGTCAGCCTTTGCCGGGGGATCAGAGGAAATGGAAGGGAAACGGAAACGAATGGGCTAACTTACAATTGACGGCACTGCTGCTCCCGATAAATATACCATCTTTTTCCACCAACCACCTCGCCATCGCAATAGCCTGAACGTCTGTAACCCTAACAGCATCATCCACTAGCTCTCTCCCAGCCTCAAAATTTACGGTAACGCGGTTGATTCCGATACCCTCGACAATAGTATCCACCTGTCTTCGCCTCCTGGTTCCCTCCCGCTCCTTCACGTCGAACATGACTCCATAACGAACGCGATTATAAAGACCGCTTCCCTGTGGATCTGCAAGCACGACAGACATTTCAGGAATGCGAGGTTTCAGAAACAGTGCGATACCTGATATGGTGCCTCCGGTTCCGGCACCTGCAACAAATGCGTCAAGTTTACCACCGCACTGAGCGAAGATCTCCGGACCAGTTGTTCGAAAGTGAGCTTGCCAATTTGCTGGATTTTCGAATTGGTCTGCGAAAAAGCCCCGACCTTGTTTACCAGCCGCATGCGAGGCATAGAGATCTGCGTCTGGCGTCTCAGATATTTCGTGCGCCTGGGGATGATGACGGCTTGACGAGGAAGGGCGGACTGGAGAAGATTCTGGAGATGGGGAATGGGATTTCGCGAGAGCGCGTGCCCTATTTACGAAATGGCCCGTTTCTACGATTGGTGCTGGTGGCACACGATCTACGACAGCACCTAGTTTCAGGAGGAGATTCGACTTTTCTGTGGCTTGGTCGGATGGCATGCAGCTGTGAGAGATTGTGTATCAACATATATAGATGACGATATACATATGGATATGACGATATATATGACGATGTATATATATATATATATTAGATGAACGAGCGGACAAGAAGATATATGGCAAAACATACATGTGTGCTAAATACCCTCTGGCTCTTGCCAGCGTAGCGAGTGAAATGCCGGTAGATCCCACTGTGCCTTCGTAAATGGCATCTCCAGAATACGGATGGAGGAGACCTTCTTCCTCCGCCTACAGGAGGGTGTCAGCGATGCATCAACTATGCTTATAGGTAGTTTTTCACAACCGACCGTTTTTATTATATTTAGAGCCACACGGTCTTTAGGACTGCTTCCAGCTCCGTTGAGAAACTGGGGAGCTATGTTAGAACATAAATACACCGTTCAGTGATAAAATAGCCTGGTAACCAACATGGCTCACATACCTCCGCCTTTGCAAGAATCTCACATCCTGTAGCATCAGATAGGGACTTGATCCTAAACAGAGGCGTATTTCCAATGCACCCTTCTATCCCATCGACGATTGGTGGCGGGCCGGGCCTGCAAGATAAACCGTATTCTAGACCATCAAGCATGTCGCCATTTTTAATCTCTATGCCTTCACACGCCTGTCTTTCATTCCGTTCATTACTGTGACCTTTTCGCCGACGTTGCTGCTGCCGGTAGCGGCGCTCAAGACCAGGGTATATGTCTCTTATTCCAAGAGCGAGTACCACTCCAGCCAGAAAAGCGGCGGGTATATAGAAACGTGGAGTGTCAATCATAGTCCAGGGATGAAAAGAAATATCTGCTTCTATCATTTATATATATGTATATATATACTTGGAGGGAAAAAGGAGCCATGTATGTAGCAGTAATAGTTGCATCCACATGTTCATGTTCGTTAGACGGTGGTGATATTCGAGAAAGTTGCAGTTGTCTCATGCCGAAGCGAAGCTTGGACCTCTGGCTCACCAATTTCTCTCGCCAACTGCAACTCCACATACACAACAACCTCCCGGCTCTTCGCCTCCGGTACTCTGCTTCTCCCACCTCCCTTGCGCTGCCTACACTATGGATTCGCCTGTTGTCGCACTTATTTTCCGGCAGCTATTCCGGCATAAAGGGTGCCGGATCCGCCATTCGCATGTTTGTATGCGCTCCAGCGACCCAATTCCGGCTCGTTCCCGAACGCATCAACAATGCCGCTCCTATGCCACCAAACCGACCCTCAAACGACGATCACTAGAAGACCCTACCTTCTGGAAACACAGGACAGATGATTTCCCAAGAGACATGTCCAAGGAGTTGCAGGAGTATCCGATGGTAACATCCACAGATTTACAGTCACGATATCATCGACCAAGGCGTGTGAAGATGCTGGCTAGGGACTTTATAGAGGGTAATTGAATAGAGTGGGCTCGTTTCGCTGCATTTTAAATGGACTAATATCCTCGTTTCCGACTTTTAGATAGTTTGTATAATCCCAATTATGGCTACTTTTCAAAGCACGCGACCATTTTCAATCCGGGCGAGCCGTTTGATTTCAACAGTATGGCTGACGGGCCCGAATTCAACCGATTGTTAGGCCAGCGATACAAGGAGTTTGAGGACAAGTTGGATGCGGTGAAATATGATGAGAGTCGTCAACTATGGCACACACCGACAGAGCTATTTCGGCCGTACTATGGGGAAGCAATTGCCCGATATCTTGTGACAAACTACAAGTTGACTCTGTTTCCATACCACGACCTGATAATATATGAGATGGGAGCCGGAAACGGGACTCTGATGCTGAACGTATTGGATTATATACGAGACGTAGATCCAGAGGTCTATCAACGCACCAAATTCAAGATCATCGAGATTTCGCCCTCACTGGCGAAACTGCAACAGAAGAATCTGAAAAATTCCATACACAGCAGCGGCCACAGAGGCCATGCGGAAATCATAAACCAGTCCATATTCGACTGGAATACCTATGTCCATTCACCCTGTTTCTTCCTTGCGCTCGAGGTGTTCGATAACTTCAGCCACGACGCAATCCGTTACGATCTAGAAACTGGACAACCAAGACAAGGTTGCGTGCTCATCGACGCAGACGGTGAATTTTACGAATATTATATCCCAAATCTCGACCTAATAGCTTCGAGATACCTTCGAGTCCGTAAAGCTGCTGCACGACGACCATTCCCTACACCCCTTCGCTCCCCGCTTGCCAGAAAGATTCAAGCTGCCCTCCCATTTGCACCGAACATGACATTACCAGAATACATACCTACTCGCCTAATGCAGTTCTTCGATATCTTGCGTGATTACTTCCCCGCCCATCGACTCGTTACCAGTGACTTCAATAGCCTTCCCGACGCAGTGCCGGGCTACAATGCCCCTGTCGTTCAAACACGATATCAGCGTACAACCGTTCCGGTTTCCACTCCATTTGTACGATTATCCCTTTCCTTATCTTAGTCTACACCTAGATTCTATCCCTCCCATAACCCCCTATCGCTTCCCCTCACCATAAGAAATAATTTGCATTCGAAATAAAAAACATATTAAAGAAAGAAAAAAAATTGAGAAACTAACGCCCCTGATTTTACAGGTCCACCAAGGCTACTTCGACATCTTCTTCCCCACAGACTTTAACCTGATGGAAGACGTATACCGGGCCATCACCGGTAAATTAACGCAGGTATCCAGTCACGCTGATTTCCTCGAACGCTGGGCATATGTCGAGGACACAGAGACGCGCAGCGGCGAGAACCCGCTGTTGAATTGGTATAAAAATGCTAGCGTCATGACTACGACTTGAAGATTTTGTATAAATCGATATTAGGGAATGGATTTACATGTATAGAGAGAGGGAGTGCTGATTTTTATTTAATAACATGATTAATTAGAGAATCTCTTAATGTAACTTAAGTATTAGAAATCATCTTTTTAAAGAATCATGATCGCTATTTTCATGATGCCATGCTCAAGCCATATTCATATTCATTATTCCCTTCTTCCTCAGGATACCCAATATATGTAGCGTGAATGTAAAGTTTATAAGAAGATTAAAAAATAGATAGCATCCCAGCTCTACGGCTTCTGTTTCTGTTTACGACGACGAAATGACCACAGTTTCCGCCTCGGTTCATTTATAAGAGCCATATATCCAGGATCATTCTTGAAATCCTCATCACGGAATTTCTATACATAATAAAACCATCAGCAACCAAAATATCAAGTTTGATAAATCAATTAAAAAATAAAAATAAATAAAACTAACTTACCATCCCCGGCCACCTCTTAAAATTACCAGTGTCCTCAGTCATCATATTCCACCCCTCCTCATAGTCATACTTATGGCCATTTGGATCCGTCGTTCCAGGCGCGTAATAGGCTACTCCATCCAGCGGCCTGTGGTTCCGGATGCAATCGGCAATTTTGTCAGGCGGGGTAGCTTTGAGAGCTTCCTCGATAGAGCTTTGCAGGGCATCGATGGGGTTCCTGCTGTGGAGTTTTGATGAGCAGGGATGTGAGTTTTGTGCACGGCTGGCGGCATCATAAGGGCCTTCATGATGATAGCAGAAGAGACCTATGTTATCAAGACGATCAATGATGTCCAATTGCACACTTGTGCTGCACCGGTGGTGTCGCCGGTGGAATCTCGCCTGCTGCGATTGCGACAATTGGGTCATTGTAGTGTGGTCAGTGTCGGGGTTTTGAGGGCTTGATGAGTGAGGAGGGGATGTTGAAGATGTGTATATGGCAGAATATGGAGGAGGACTGGAGAAGGTGGCATATGGAGAGGGAATGGAGTTGGTGGAATGCCTGTGGCTGCTGATTCTGGTTCGTTCTGAGATGCTCAAGGATGAAGACGGCATTGTTTTATTAAAAAAGGTTTGATTTATGGATCCGATGTGTAGAGGAGAAAGTATTGTAATGGAAGTCTTATTTTTGGTTTGCCCTGGTTTAAACACTGGAATTTAAATAGGTTGTTTATATGTGCATTGCTCAGGCCGAAGGAATCAACAAATCCTGGTGAAAGAGGTGGTGGATAGAGATCAACAACAACAACAACAACAGATAAACAGCAAAGTAGTTATGGGTGAAAACTACACTGTGTGTATGTGCTGCTTGCTATTTTTAATCCCCATCAATCAAAGTTGGAGGTTAAGCTTTTCATAGAAAATATTAGCTCTGCCTGTTGAGTCCAGATGATCCAGCGGGTCCACATGTAAACGTCAGTGAGGCTGCTGCGGCCAATAACATCAGCCTAGGGCTTGGCTGATGGATCCAGATTGACGCCATGGATTTGTCACCAAGGTCTGCAAAGCCCTGTCCTGTTCCCCCAGTCTGGCAAGCTACGGGCTGACGGCTGCGGGTAGTGGGTAAATCATTGTGGGGCAAAATATAAAATTTGGTCACATGACCTCCTGCAAAAGGTTGTTTCGACGAACCGATAGAAGCAAGATGAAGATAGGTCCTAGGTCGATTCAGAAGATGAAGATAAATCCTAGATCGATTCAGTCCGCCAGCACTAAGCTCAGTCTGGAGCTTCTGTTTTTATCTGACAGAAACCGTTGCTTGTTCTGTTCTCCCCAGAATTTTCCCTATGAGTTCACATGCCCAACATTCCGCCGGAAGAAAAGAAGTTGGATCGGAAGAAAAATTGTATTTCTCAGCCTTAATTAGAGGTGTAAGTTAGCCAAATCTTGAGCCATAATTTGGATAAAGAGAATGGTGGCTGCCTACCGTTTTAAGATCGAAAGTCAATCGAATCGCACATGGGTTATAGCAAGGGAGAATGAGAAACGATGGCAAAGTGGCCGTGTATTGTTGCAGGAATTGAAATCCTCGAAACTCAATCCAAATCACGTGATTGGACCACCTCAACTCTCCAAACCGTTCTCCAGTCAGCATATTAATTGCTGATAACACCTGCGACGGAACCAACGATAAAGCACAATACATACCTGGGAAATGCATACAGCAAATTGATTTGACATGGATCTAGTTCAGTATTCCGATTCAGAATCGGACGAGAGCCCACAGACAAAAGCTCAGCCAGTGACAACTCCCGTTCGTTTGCTGAAGCGACAGCGAACAGATAGCGGAAATAATAATAATAAGGAAGGTGATGGGAGAAGTGGGAATTCTGTTTTACCTCCGTTGCCTGCTGAGTTCCTTGATCTCTATGCAACCAATTCGCGCGTTAGCGTCCAGGACGAACCCAGTCTCCATGACGGGCGCAAACGTATAATTCCCCATGTTGTTGGCAACTGGCCCACCCATATATATCTCGAGTGTAAGTATTTTGCCATTTCATATATCCTTTTTCGATCAGTCCCGCTGCAAATCTGATTGCGTGTATATTGGGCCACCGTCGGCTGATTTTGTCCTTGTTGGAGGGTACCCCGCGGCTCCAGAGGTCTCCACTTTAGAAGACGTAATTTCTCGGTCTGGACATGAACTTCAAAATGGATTGGAAATCCATAGCCTGCTGTTTAGCGATCTGGGTGCCCAAATGCCGCTGCACATTAGCCTTTCGCGCCCCGTTGCGCTTGTGACGGATGACAGACAGCCGTTTAAAGACATGCTAAACGATGCCATACGTGACTCTGATATTCGTCCGTAAGTGCTATTCATTCCGTACTTCCGATAAAAATGAATACTACCATCAATAGAACGACCTAACGAAGTCGGCAGGTTTCGCGTGTCAACGGCTGGGTTAGACTGGGTTTCTAATTTTGAGAGAACGCGGTGGTTCCTCATTTTACGGGTTGTAAAACCAGCACACAATGAGCTGAATCGCCTGCTGGTGATATCGAATCAGAGTGTTGCTGCTTTCCACCAACCTCCGCTGTATCAAAGCCCAGACCCTGCAAATACGCCCGGCAGGAAACGGTATAGCAAGAAACCCCGGGCCCAACCAGCAACTTCCGACCCTGTCGAGGACTTTTCTGACTACTTCCATATATCTATCGCGTGGAGCTTGACAGAACCATCAGTGGAGGATAAGCAGCGGGTTGCTTCCGTAGAACTTGGAAAGCTCAAGGAAGTTGAAATCCTTTTTCACAGTGTGAAGGTCAAAATTGGGAATAGAGTTCACAATTTGGAACTTCCAACGCTGATTCTCGATGAAAATGGGTTCTGTGGCTTGTAAACTAATGCAAATATGATACCTAGGGAGGCGAATCCAACTTGATTGGTTGCTGAGTTATCAGGAATATGATATGTTCGGAAATTTGGGTATGAAGGATGTTCATGACAGCATGAGTTCTGACTGGGTGGAGGCTAGGAGCCTTGCTAGCAAATACAGACGTCGCCATTCTTATTCTGTAACGTCTGGGTCTAGGAGCCTTTAGCTCTGTGGATTGGCGTACAGTTGAAACGTGGTTTTAAATCTCGTCCCGAAAAACCTTCGGCGTGGTTTATGAAATAAACCATGGCCACTTCCCCTAACCCCGGTGTTGAGGGTGGAGGTTGAATAGAGATGTATTTGTGGTGTATGTGCAGAGTGAACGCCTTGGGCCTGTGCTTTTGGGACTTATTTTAAGCCCAGGGGAATTTTGATATCATTTGGATGGATTCAAGACGATCATCAACCGGAAATATGGTTTTCTTTATTCACGATCGAGTAACCAGTCATGTCGAGAGCACGACCGGGAGTTTTTTTTCTTTTGGACACTTCTTGAGGTAAATAGAGTCATGGTGAAATGATTGGCAGACGCAAATTTTCGTGTCGGTCGCCTTGCCTCTAAGATCTTGAATTCGGCGTCATCATAGTGAATCGGCCACTTAGAACTGAACCCGTTAGACCCTCTAAGCCGACGCATACCTGCAGGCATACATTGGCAGATGGACCGCAGGCTGATCTAAACCTTCGTAGAACCTTTATAAAAGCGGTGGATCTCCCTTTTAAATCACACAAGGACAACAATACCTGGGAACTCGCAAACACCCACATCCCCCCTTCTGCTTGGGCCTAGCTATCCGTTTCTAAGTGTTATTATTTTGGTGGAAAAAGTGCTGCATTCACATGGTGTACATTTGAAACTTGAGAAAATGATATGGAGACAGTCTGGTTGCAATAAAGTTATTTTAAGGGCGATTAAAGTTTCGGCTAGATATTCAAGCCCGCATATTTTGACCGCCTTTGTGTCTCCCAAGTCTCGCAAACCACACTTCCATTCTGTCCCAACAGCAATTGAATTTGAGATATCCTACCTGGTCTAATCAATCGCCTTTGAAAAGACCACCCTGAAGGACTTTGGCATTGGAAGTGTTTTTTGCAATGGCACTTCAGTCACAATTTCCGTCTATTACAACGGTAAGCATGCTATCCAGCCAGCATAGTTAACCCCCCTTCGGCATCTTAGGCTAACAATTTACACGCAACAGAATGACCTCCAGGAATTTCATGCGCGTCATTTCCCTGGAAGGAGCAATGACCCGGATTATTCTCTGATGCTAGCAGGGATTGATGAACAGTTCGACGAGGATAACTTGGGATACTATGCGGATGGCACCAAACGGACCCTTACGGACCAGCAAGTTGAGATCTTTCGACACAGCGAAATACAGAGGCTGCAGCGCGAGAAGAGGTTAAAAGAAATAGCTGATAAGGGGGATGCTGAAGTTGAGTTTCAAGTTGATAAAAAGAGCGATGATACCGCCCGTTTAGAAAGACAGGCGAAAAGCCGGAGTTCGCAAAATCATCAGGCAATGGAATACGATGAGGAAGAACATAATATTGTGGACAGAAAGATAACAGAAGGAACTATTCAGTATACCAACAAGAGTGTCCAAAACTCCCTTGAGTCTGGAGTCCGAGCGGTGGAATCTGCAAATTCTCAAAAACCCCTCTCTCTCAGTGCAAATCCTTTTAGTCGGCGCCTGGTCAGCTATGATGATTAGGTCCTGTCATAGTTAAATCGTTCGTGGATGGGAACCGCCGTCAACGGTGATGCCAAGTACCAAATTATCTTTTGAAATATCAATCCCCCAGTTGAATTACACCTCTGGACGGTGGGTGTCGGATTTTATGTTGTGCTGGCTTGCCCTTAGTTGGTATGTATGTGCACACCTTCAATTGTGAATATCCAAAACCAATGATGAAATATTCGTATCGTCATCCTTAGTCGTATGCCAGATTCATCTCATGTCCCCCTTCTCTCTCTTCTTGGGTTGAAGTTGGAGCAATGGATTGGTATCTGGCGAGGACGAACATTTAATCTTCTCTCTGATGTTTTGGGTTGGCTTGAAGCTGCATCATTAGCTTATTATGGAAGACTGCTGACAGTTTTGCTTAGTATATGGAAATATTGAGTTTATACCGAAGCTGAGTTGAGCGATTGGTCAGGAAACAACTACAGGAGTTTTGATCTCCGAACTCCTTGTCCGTGAAGGCTTAATTCATCGATGCCAGTTGAAATATGGCTATTTTCGTGCACCAATCTAAACATTTGAACATCGGACCGTCCGTGAGCCGTGAGCAAACTTGGAATCTTGGCGCAGAAGGGATTGGTGGACAGCAGAGAGGAATATCCGAATGTAGATGCTGCATATGGATGATTAATATCATGCGGGGGCGGATAATGAGCGTATCGGGTTTGTCTCCAAGCTACGGTCGCTGGTTTGTTGATGGAAGCGACTGCTATGCAGCATTTTCAAAATGTGTTTCTGGGTGCCTTTTGATGAAGACAGAATATAACTCTGATTAGAGAATCAATCATTGGGCTGGGCTTGGTTTTGTTCTGTCACAAAACAGTAACATGATGTGGGTTGCTCGCGCAGGAAGACCTGTGGTCCCAAATGCAAGCTCTGGCACCAGTTGGACAATCGTGCCCGGAGCGAGTGTGGGAATAGTGATGTACACAAGTTATCTGAGAGATTAAGAGACCCCGTCATGAACTGAAAATGCCCAATGCAGAAATTGATAACCATTTTCTAGTCTGTTGGCATCTAGAGGACTTGGATTCGACAGCAAGCAGCTGAAATGAATACACGCCCGGGGTGTAACGCGGCTAACATCGTTGTATCCGTCCACTACGTGATTTCTAATCGTGCACGAAGGATGGAAAAGCTTTCTTCAAACGATTTTAAAAATGGAAGACAAATTGAGATTTTCAAAAAAAAAAAAAAAAAAAAAAAAAAAAAAAACTTTTTGTTAAAATGGCAGCACAGTATTAGGGAGTTATGTTTGAGTAGTCGATTTGATGGTAACGGGACAGTGCTGACGTTGGTGTATTCGAATCCTCATCGACGGAGATCCCCATGACTATTATCTGAGTAGATGCGTCATTTTTCATTACTATCTTCAAGCATTTTCAACTTGCAACTTTTTTTTCCTTTATATCCAGCCGTGTTTGAAAACAGACGGCACTGCGAGGTTCGATTCCGTCGAGCCATCGAGCCACTTTGTCTCCTTGATTCGATCCCCGCGAGTGGCCTTCTGTGCTCTTCTTGTCATTAACTGACGCTCGTCGGCGTTGTTTCATGCTATGGATCCTCAGCTGGCAGCATTAACATATCTTGCAATGCACTGGGACTCACTGGGGGTTTGTCTCAGTATCTACAAGTCTAGTGTCTCTCAGTTATGTTATTCTCACAGTACAATGTTGAAAAATACGAAGTTCGGAGACGATAAAATGATAGTGTGTTCTACCAGATTCATGGAGAAATCTCCAGGCACTGAGGGGATAACCGGCGAATGAAAGGATGATGACGGATTTTATACGATGTTTGATTGCTGCCCCGGTCGTTGAATTTTTTTTTTTTTTTTTTTTTTTTTTCTTCTCCTGAATTTGATTCAAGCCTTCGATACTATCAATTATTCCTCTTGAAATACTCAAAACACGCCCCTTCCAAGTCATCACCCAATTGGATAGTTTGAGCCAGTGAACGCCTGTTGAGACTCGAAGAATTCTGATTCTGACCCTGATTGACGTACAGGCTTTGCGCGCCTTCAAACACACGGCAGTTACAATCGATGCTACCTCTTCAGCAGGGTTGAAATGGCACATATTTGAGGAACAACAAATATCATCTTCGTTAATCGGCCCAAGACGTTAGCCCTGGAGAGCACGAACGACCTAACTCCAACTTACTGACTCATTTTGATGCGTCCATACGTCGAATAATGCCACACTTCCCGTTGCTGAGAATGGAAAAATTAAATATCAAAAATCAAACAATTTCTCGCAGGGATTTTCTCTAGGGATGGCTGTTTCCACTCCCATAGCAGCACAGTAACTTTACTGAACTTTTCTTTTCATTTTTTCTTTCTCTCTCCCTCTCCCTCTTTTTTAATCTCACCTTTTTACCGGGAGTCTATTTTACTTGGGGCCATTTTACTTATGCATGCACAGCCAAGATACGCCTTGTTATGGCCGATACTTGTAGGTAGATAGATTTCATCTAATGAGGTCAGTCTTTGGAGAATCTGTTCCCGAAACAGGCACATCGCTGGAGCGTGTGAAAGGGAGCAGGAGGAAACAAAAGGAAAGGTGGAAAAATTAAAAGAGCAAAGAAACAACGTCAAATGGCTGTGTATGGTGAGCTGATATCACGCCCAGCTGTCCCAATAGCGAGGTTGCATCCCACAAGACAACATACATTTATACACTTTTGGCTCCAGCAACACGTTCTTGCGAGGATCCTAACAGCACAGCAGCTTTGGCAACTTGACAGAGTTTGCCAGAGCTCCTATTTAATTTGAATTTTATCGTCTATGATGCTGCAATAATCATGGCACTATTGGACCGACGACCTATTGAGCATCAATGTCAGGAAGTGCTGCGCCGCCAATTCGCGTGCTGGAATGCAGTCACACAGATTTCTTTTCTTGGCTGCACAAAAACTGTCTCATGCTGGCAGATTTTCACGAGTAACAAGACTGGAGTTTGGTTTTTATTATCTTATATTAAAATGGAGGTCCGAAATCTCTGTTTTGCTAGTAAGTGTGGAGCCGTTATAAGATGCATCAAAATTCCACTTCTATTTTCTGTTAACTAAAAAATAATATTGCAACACAACAGATCGATCCACCCCGGAGTAATTGTAGAAGGGAAAGAAGCCAATAGTCCATTTCTCAAACTATCTGTCATTAATCTTGGCTCACGGGTGACAATAGGAGGTACCTGCATATGTGCCCAACTTTAT